AAATCTCTGTTCCCAACAGGAATAAACCCCCCCCAGGATGTTTTGAAAAATTCAGCCCGAGGCAGCAGAGAAAGGCTTTTTCTGTTGGCTTTGAATATTCAGCCATGGCAAAGACTCTACAAGACGTGTCTTATTCGGGGTTACCAGATCCTGACCAGACTCAGTGCTGGATAGTTTCTATTTCTACCGTGCTCCTGGGAGTTAAGCAAGCCCTCCAGCACCCCTACGCCTGCCCATTACTGCCCAAAACCCTGCAACATTTTGCTTGACTGGGGGGTTTTACCCTCCTTTACAACACGGGTGGGGTTTTTTTAGGAATTCTATAAAGCACGGGTAGGAGAGGAACTTGTTCATGCCCTACCAGCCTACCTTTCACATCTGCAAAAACGAGTAAGAAAAAATACGCCGTTACCTCCCCACCGCCCAATTTTCCAATCAAATCTCAAAATTACAACACCGTTTTGGGGATCAGGGAAAAATTCCCCAGGGAGCTGCAGAAGAGCTTTGGCAGCACCCGCTCCGGTGCGAGCAGACGATGCTGGGAGCAGCACGAGCGAGGCGGGGATGCGGGATGGGTGCTGCTGCCCCACGTAAAGCTGTGCGGGGTAGAGGGGGTTCGCTCGGGAGCTTTCTCCAGACTTACTTCATCAGCTCTGGGTCTTCTTTATCATCCTTTGTCGGGGTGATCTTGATCCCACTTTTCTTGGCACGAGGGCAGCCTGACAGACTGTGGTTAAAAAGAGAAGAAAGGCCTGTCTCACTGGCAGAATCACTGCATTTGCTATTCCCCCGCTTCAGTCATCTTTCCCTTGAATTTCACACAGTGTTTTTGATCTCTCTCTCGTTTTGCAGCTTCACATCACGAGGAGAAGTCAGGAGGAAAAAAAAAAAAAAAAAAAAAAAAATTGAGGGAGATGGACAGTAATTAATGGTGTCTAGATAAGAAGATATCTGCTAACAGCCTGCAATGTTTAATGGAATTGTTGAAACAGAAGGCTCAGATCTCTGCTATTAATGCTCTAAAGTGATAATAGAAGTCATAAATAGGTAGCATTATTAACAGGAACATTGCATCAGCTAAAATCTGACCCTTTGTCTTTTATTCTGTTGAAGGGAGCTTCTAATCAGATGCTGGAAACATCAAAAAAAAAAAAAAAAGAGAAGTCAGATTAAAGAGATGAAAATAGGCTTCAGTTGTCAGTAACGTTAATGTTTTATTCAGAACTTTACAACTCTGCCCACTGCAGGGGAAAACAAAACCAGAAAGAGGCTACGGAGAAAATAATTTAAGGGAGATCTTACCTTCTATGCGATGCATAATTTCCTGTTATGTGACCAGAGCCATCACAACCAGGAGTAGGGCACCTGCAGAGGAAAGGGATGCTCAGATTAGCCTGGGGATGCGGGCAGAGGATCGACGCTTTGCGACAGCTCCTTTCAAAGAGAAATCTAGGGACTGGCAACACAGAAGCAGGTTTTTCTTCCTGCCCCTTCTCCCTCCGTGAGAACAAGGCCTGGTCCGTAATATCCACGACACCCAAGTCGCTGCATCGCTGCGTGATGGCGGCGTTGGAGAGGAACATCGGTGGGAAGAGGTGGGGGAGCGCGGCGGGTAGCAGCTCTCCAGCGGAGGGACGTGTGCCCCAGCCTCTGTCCCCACCCCCATGATGGGGACAGCTCAGGAGATGATAACAAAGGAGCCAAAAAAAGACCTCCAGGACAGTGTCCGTCTTCCTGAGGATGACATAAGGAGATGGCAGGGACCATCTAGGGCCACTGGGCTGGATGCAAGCATAGAAAAATAGCCTACAAACCAGAAAAATAGCCTACAACTTGGCCATTGAGCTTTCTCCTCCACCAGCACCTCAGCCAACACCAAGGGGAAGCCCAAGAGAAGGTGTCAGCTCAGTTCTGGGTGATTTGGCGGGGGCTAGTCTCACTGAGGGCAAGCAGACACCCCGCCCCAGGAAGGTCCTCAGAGTCCAAAAGCATTTGATGCCTCTGGTGGAAAGTAATGAAGGAATAGGAGGGAAAATATTAGGTTAACCGTGGGTCTCCTCCTTCTGTAACACCAGGGGCCAGGGCCAGGGGGGGTCTGCAAGGGGCCAGATGCCTGCCTGCCTTGGGCTGGGGATCACCAGGCCACCACGCACGGTGCACCGGCAGCTTTTGGTGCTTCGGTGCAAAAATCTGCCCCTCGGTCCTCAGCCGCTGCGGTTACAAAGGGGTCTTTGAAGATGCAGCCATGATCATGGGTTTGAAGGTAAGCATCCGGCACTCCGGGACACGATTGAAAGCAAAGCCTGAAGAATAGTTCTGTGATCACACAAACCTGCACAAAGGCTAGCAGGGGCCGCCAGCCCTACCGAGCGGCGGCAAAGATAATGGCACGAGTTAAGCACCGCATCATTAAGGGCGCAGAAGCGGGAAAGGTGAGGGGCTATGAAGTACCATGAGCACAAAGACCTGCTCCAAATGCTGTAGGTGACACGGCAGACATAAAAGTTGTCATGGGGACAAGGAAGAGAGGCGAGGAGTGCTCGCCGAGGAGGTACACGCCAGCCTGCCAATTAGCCAGGGCTGTTTGAGTCAAGCAATAAGTGCCGGGGGAGGAAATCCACGGTGCCGCCGCGGGACGAACAGGAGGGGCTCAGCCCCGCGCTTCCGAGTCGGAGCGAGCAAAGCTCACGGCACGACCGCAGGCTTGCGGGATGCCTTTTCTCTTGGAGGGAGGATTTTGCTGCGCCCCTGCTTTCTCAATCCCCATTTTTAAAGCCACCGGTGCCTGGTTGGGTAGCACCGGTTGGTACCCTGCTGCAGGGCAGGGATTGATGCGTCTCCAGGACAACCCAGTGAACTGGTGGGCAACGTGTGATGGTGCATGGGCAGCCCCCGAGGTCAATGCCTTTGGGAAAGCCCATGCCTGGCCTAGGCAATGTTGTAGTTGGGGTGCTCTGGCCCTTGAGAGTCAATGGAGCAAAGATTTCCACAGATGCCTTTAGTTCTGCAGCTTGGAAAACGGCCTTTTAAAAAGTCCTTTTTTTTTGTTTGTTCGTTAGAAAATATCAAATATCTCCTCTTTGCATCAGCTCTGAGGGAGGGTTTGGCATTTGTAGGTCACTGAAGCATCTCCATCGCCAAAAAAAACATTGGCACCTCACCTAGGGTGGGAGAACAGGGACACGTCCTGGTCCCAGAAGGATGACAGAGACACTAAGTCAGGACCAAGGCTCAGCCTGCTCACACCCACAAAAACATAAATGCACACAGGTCCGGTGCAGTAAGAGCAGGGACACATCCAGCAGGACCCCGATGAGGGTGCAAATTCTCTACCTCCTCGAGAAATTACAGGTTTTGGAGACAACTGTGACATTTCCCTGTTATACACTGTTAAAATAGAAAGCAAAACTATTACGTGGTTGTTCTAGCTTCAGGGTGGAATGAAATTATGAAAACACTAACACCAAACTCCTTTTGCCTTTCAGGACTTTTAAAAAAGGGAGAGAAGTGATTTGAGTTTTATTTTTAATTATCTGGAGACAAATCATACCGACAGAGACCTTTTATTGCATGTTCCAGCCCCGAGCTATTTTTTTTATATCAGGGATATTAACCCCTGAAATAGAATTTATAATAGAAACACTGACATGGCCTTATCTGAAGTTGTGAAAAGCGATGACTGCACTATCTGTAATATCTCCAAATCCTCTTCCCTTCCTCCTTCCTCTGCTCCCAGCCTCACCAGGCCATAGGAAAAAAAACCCCAGTATGTGGGAAACAACACTAAAAAGCTTTGTTTTGCCCCAAAGTCTCCTGGTTTATATAGTATTTTGATAAAAAGTGCTGCCATCAGGTGCCCAAGGGGAGCAGGGGATGCTGCACCACAAGGCTCGGCGCGATGCTGGGTCTCAGGGACAACGCTGTTTGCTTTTTCTCCAGGCCATTCCTGGAAATGGGGACTGTTCCTGAGAGCTTTCAACATCTTTACTGCTAATTGCCTGATCACTGGGCTATTCTTTAAGGCTGTTGGAGAAACATCCGTTCAGCAAAGCTCTCTTCAGAGGTTCTTTCAAAGTGTAGATCGTCTATAATGCATGATTAAGTATACTTAGTGCTAATCATGCAAGTCCTTTCCCTCCACTAGCATATTCTATTAATATCAACTAATCCAGCTACTTTTTCCACCTCTGCGATAAGGAGCAGGCAGTTAGCAAACATTTTTCCTGGCACCAGCCCCTGCATCATCAGCGGTGGGGTGCAGAGCCGCCCTAGACCCGCACTGCCCGCCGGGCCACCAAAAAGGGATGTGGGCCTTTCCTGGCCACCTTAATGCCCAAAGGAGCTCCTACCTGACTTGACTACTCTTACCATAGCTCCAAACCTCACTTTCTGAGTACGGGACATGGGACGCCTTTAGGTTTTTTTATGGTGAGCCTGTGCGATGCAAAGCTGCCCATGAGGTTTTACTCTTGGTAGAGGCTCTTCAGGTCCAGTTATGAATATCTCGGTGTCTAAATAATCCTGAAACTGGATTCAGCAAAGCAGGGAGCTCAGAGGAGAATCAGCCTCCAAAAATAGGCTGGCTCCATGGAAGTGGTGTCGGAAAAAAATTCACAACTAGCTTTTCCCCACAAATATACATTGGGTGGAGGAGGGTTTGGGTCCCCCCAGTGTCTCCATCTATTTTAACTAGAATTTCTATTAAACCTTTCTTTAGGGGAGCCAACTTAAGAGAGAATTTGGGAAACCCTCTTGTGAAATATAAGCTCCTTGTGAAAGGAAGAGCTTATTTGGGAAGACAGCAGCAACACAACAAACAGGACTAGAGGAAGGTATTTGAATAAAAACGTGAAGACCGGATTCCTCCCATCAGGAGCAGAAATGGGAACAAAGAAATCCCGTGTGCCTGTGAGCCCTTTGCCACTGGCTCAGGTTCCGGCCTCACCGAGCGTTTGCTTGCTCCTTCTTTCATTCCCTCACAAATCAAAGTCCCATGGAAATGAACAGGAACCTCTGTCACTGCATCCCAAACAACCCCTAAAATTTAGCATAAAATTAGCATCCCAGGTCCTCCAAAAGAGTCAGCTTCTTTTCGCTATGCCCTGATGGTGTTTTCCCAGCTGTGTCTCTGCCCAAAAATAAAGCGTGTGCCTTTACCTAGGCTTTGGTTTATTTGCAAGCCATGAAAAAACATTGATTGAAAGGGTTATGGCACAAACTGGGGAAACAAGAGCTCGGGAAAAGACTCCAACTGAAAAAGAAAATAGCATATGCCTGCAGTGTCCAAAGGAAACCCGCCGGGGTCCAGGTTATTTTTGATTGCTGCCGTGATCCCCCCTCCCCAAAATAAGCCTTGCCCCATGATGCTGACTCTTCCCAACACAGCAGCTGGAGGCTGGGCTCCACCAGAGCTCCTTGTAGGTGGACTTTGATCGGCTCTTTGAAAGGAGAAGGGAAGGGATGGAAAAGCAAAAGCAGAGCAAGAGGGGTGGGGGGAAGAGAGAAAAAAGGGTGGAAAAAAAAAGAAAAAAAAGGAGTTCCAAGTTGAGCGCAAACATACTTGAGGTCAGCAGAGTGGGCAGCCATGAGGTTTCTGAGGCTCTTGTCAGCAAGAGGACAACCAGAAAGGCTGAAAGAGAAGAGATGGAATATCTGGATAAGGTGGGGGGAGGGAGAGGGGGCAACAGAAGGTGGGGAAGAAACAGAACCAAACTATCCACATGGTCAAAAAATATACTAAAAGAAAAAAAAGTTGTCTTTAGAGTCCGAACCATGAGAAAAAGGTCAACCCACCTGCGGTGAGAGGCATAGTTTCCCGTTATGTGTCCGCTGCCGTCACAGCCTGGGGTTGGGCAACTGGGCAACAACAACAACGAGTGTAAGTGCTGGAAAGGCAGGAATTCACCCGAGAGCCACGGATCTGCAAAACCAGCTGAGCCCTCCCCG